GGTTCAGGGGAGGCGGGGTCAGCCACGTATCTCGGCAGCGGCTCAGTCTTGATCATGGTGGGAACAAGGCAATGTCCTTGAGGCGATCCAGAGGTCGTAAAAGCCCTGCGGAGGAGGTACTGTTATCACCTATCTCAGGTGAGGAAACTGGGGCACAGAGCGGTGGGTCACCCAAGGTCACACGGCTGGCCAGTTTGGGGACCAGAATTTGAACTTGTTAGAAGTGCTGGCTTTCGGTCCCTGCCCAGACTTGCTGAATGAGAGCCGTTTAGGGGGCGGCCCAGCCTTCTGGGCCCGTAGCCGACTGGCGCTCACGCCCGACAACCCCTGATACACACAAGCTTCTTGGTAGGGAAGAGCCAGGCGTGATCTGCCCATTTTGTAGGTGAATAAACTGAGACTGGGGGGTGCAGCCACTCGTCCCAGGACCTTAGCGCTGGCCCCCTATGTCCTGTCGTCTGATCACGTGGAAGGGGTCAGCGGGCAGAGGCAGGGCGCCCACTGGTGAGGGACACCGGGGCCGACCCCCTCCTGCCCCCGTGCAGTGTGACCTTGGGCAAGTGACGTAACCTCTCTGTGCCTCGGTTTCTCTCCTCTGCAAACGGGAGCGATGATCGTCCCCATTTTAGAGATTGTCAAAGATTACATGAGTCGTGTGTGTGAAGAGCTTTGCACAGAGCTCAGTGCCCACAGAGCAAGCCTCGTGTTGCTGTCACTGGGGCAACTCTTTCGGGAAGGGGTGACCCCTCGTAGGGGGATGAGAGTCGGTGAGGGCAGGGAGGGCTGAAGGAAGCCTTTGGCCAGGGCCCTAGCAGCCCCTGCTGGCCTGGCTTTGCATCTGAGGGGTGAGGTCCTGGGAGCCAGGGACCAGAGAGGGCCATCAACCTGTCCCAAGGCCCCCAGGAGTGGACAGGACTTGCTTCTTGCCCCTCAGGATCCTGTTGGTGGCCGGGGCCACTGCAAGCCCTCTAGGACTGCAGAATCTGGGGGGAGAGGGCGTGTTGGTTCATGAACAGGGCTGTTGGTTCAGAACAGGGCAAGTGAGTGGCCAGCCGAGCCACTGCTGGCCCTCGCTGCGGCCCGCTGGCCCCAGGCCCCTGTGTCGGCCCTGCCTCCCCGGCTGTACCAGCCACCACCCTCCCACCCCCCTGCCCTTGCCCACCCGGTCTAACCCTTCCCTCACTTCCTTCCAGCCTCACACGCCTCTGGGAACGAGGTGCCCGGAGGGGAATGCAGTGGCCCAGGTACGGACGGGGCCATCTGGCCTGGGGGGCGGGGGGCCTGTCCTCTGCAAGGGGCCCCACTTCTGCGAGCACACTCCTGCCCATGAGCACCACCGTTGGAGCTGTCGCCGCCTCTGCGCTTCCTGCCCAGTGCAGGGTCTGTTCCCCATGCTGTTCCCTGGCCCGCGGCAGATCTGTGCGCTCTGCTCAGCCGTCTCGTTGGTTTGCACTGGTGTCTTCCTTCGTGATTCTTACCAGATTCGATTTCCCAGCAGCACGTGCCGGTATTTTAAATGTCCCCATTTTATAGAAAACGGGGAGACAGCCCCAAAGAAGTGACAGGACTAGTTTTTTAAGGCTAAAGAGCCAGGCCTAGAACCGACGTCCCCTTCCCCTTTGTCGGTACACACAGCCGCTTGGCCGTCACTTAGTGTGCACTTGCTGTATACCAGGTCCTGAGGGAAGCGGGCGGGGGATCCGGTCCGGGTGGGCGGTTTCCTGCGGGCTTCTTTGAGTTCGCTGGCCCCCGTGTCCGTTGTCTGGTGATGGAGACGCAACGATGACACAGTGACAAATAGCCGCCAGGGGCGTAGGAGCCTCCGGGCTGTTTGGTGTCAGGCGCTGAGGCCATTGAATCCTGAGCTCCTGCCCGGAGCCGGGCCGTGTGGTCAGGTGATGTGAGAAAGCTGCCTCTGCCTCCACCCCAGTCCCCCACGCCACTCACCTGTCCCCGCCCTCCGCAGCCGCTGTCAACAACAGCTCCGACACCGAGAGCATCCCATCGCCCCACACCGAGGCCGCCAAGGACGCAGGGCAGAATGGGCCCAAGCCCCCACCCGCCCTGAGCACCGACATGACGCCCGCCGAACCGCCCACCCCACCTCCAGAGGACGCCCCGGCCCCCGCCGAGCCCACTCCGGCCCCTGAAGCCACGGGCCCACCCACACCCCCACTGGCACCCCCATCGCCTGCCGCGCCCCCTCCCGTGGTCCCCAAGGAGGAGAAGGATGAAGAGGCCGTCTCAGTGCCCCCAGCGGTGGCGGAGGGTGGGGACCAGAAGCCCCCTGTGGCCCAGGAGCTGGCAGCAGACGCGGGCCCGAGAGAAGAGCCCGGCCAGGCGCCCCCCGCCCAGCCCATCAAGGCCGAGTGCAAGGAGGAGGCCTTGGAGGAGGCGCCCGACAAGGTCAAGGGGGCTGCAGAGGCGGCTGCCGAACCCGCGCCCGAGGTGCCGCTCAAGGTGGAGAAGAAGGAGGGGGGCGGGGGCCCCGGCGGCAAAGCCACCCCAGCCAAGGGCTCGGGGGCCCCCCAGGACAGCGACTCCAGCGCCACCTGCAGTGCCGACGAGGTGGACGAGCCCGAGGGGGCCGCCGACAAGAGCCGGTGAGTGCCAGGCCGGTCGCGGCCGCCGCCTTTTCACGCTGCAGGCGCCTGGAGAGCATCTACTCTGCGGGGAGACAGCAGGCGGGAGGCAGGGCCTGTGCCCGCCCCAGGGGGCGTGGTCTCGCGGGGTTTGGGGCGACCCCCAACACAGCCCAGACAGCGAGGTCCAGCTGGCAGGGCCACCGGCGGCCTCCACCAGCGGTGGCCCTGCCACACTGCTCCTCTTCCAGGCTCTGCTCCGCTCCTGGAGCCGGGCGCCTGTCCCTCCAGGCCCTGGGAATGCTGGATTTTAGCCACTTGCAGCACAAACACGTGGGGACCCTAAGGTGCTGATACACCCCAGCCGGGGCCGAGGGCGGGCGGCCGAGGGCAGCAGCGTGAGACCCGCTCTGCTCACGTCCAGGCGGCTGGAGAAATCGTTCCCTAGCGAGGCAGGCGGGTCATTGTTATTTTGACTGAAAACAGTGCGGTCTACTTTCTCTCCTCACGTCTCGGAAAACATTCTGGGCAGAGCCAGAGGGAGGAAAATCTGACTTTCAAATCCGGCGTGTTCGCTCGGAGCCGCTTCCTCTGGCCCATGATTCACCTTGGGGCATGTTAAAATGACAAGTTCTAGAACATTCCATAGGAAAATCAGATTCGGTCCGTGCTCTCTGGGTCTCTATATGTTCCACAAAAGCGAGTGAGCCACATGGGCCTCTGCTTCTCGTGTCCGGCGGTCCCTGGTGGCCACCGCTGGCAGAAACCCCTCCCCTTTGGTGTGAGAAGCAGATGTTTGGGGGGGCGCCCCCACCCCCCCCACCAGCAGCGGCTGGGCCGACAGGGCCTGAGGACGCAGAGTTCCTGAGCTTCTAGCCCAACGGGCATAGCTCGGAAGACAGTGCTCGTGGCGGCTCAGTCTGCAGGGGCATCTCAGCCAGGATCTCTCGTGCCTGGATAATGGGGTCAGGGCGGGTGGCTCCCCATCTCACTCCTGGCGGCCATGGGGACTTGTTTCTGCTCTTAGCGAGATGAGTGCTGAGCTCATGGGGCAGCCATGCCGATCAGCGTCCTCCTGGGGTCTGTGTTTTGGGTACGTATGGCTGGCTCAGGCTGGAGGCTGGGAGGGGAGGGTTGGCCTGAGTCTCATCAGCCCCCCTGGACCCCACAGGCCAAGCACCTTTTAGCCTCTCCCCGCCTCCTCCAACAGCCGCACCCAGGGACGTGTTCTTCCCTTCCCAGCTGGGCCTGGCTTTCTTCCACGCTTCCTGCCTGCACGGCCAGCATTCCGTCCCCTGGGAACAAGCGCCATGGGCGAGGAGTCAGGACACCTGGTTTGTCACGCCCTGTGCAACTGAGCCCAGGCCCCGCCCATGGGGTAAGGCTGGCCTGTGGCCAGCCTGCTGACCTCTTCCTGGCCAGCAGCCCGCCTTTCCTCCCTCCCTTCCCTGGCCACTCAGGGCCAAGAGAGCACCGGAGGGCACGGCGAGGTCTGTCGGAGCGTGTCCCGGCAGCCAGGGCTTCTCGGAGGGGTCGGTGGGCCGGGGGGGGCCCCTGGATACCCCCAGACCCTAGTCGCCCCCCTCTCCTGACAGCCTTGGCGCAGTGACATGGGCGTCCCTGGACAGACGCAAGAGACGTGTGGTCTGGGTCCCTGCCTGGCGACTTTGGGAGAGAAAACTACATCCTGCCTGGTTGTTTTTACTTCTCCGTCACTCTGCCAGGCACCTGTGCCAGGGACTTTTCTTGGACCACAGCCAGAGATGGCGGCTTTGATTGCAAACACAGCCTTGGACTTGCCGGCCCTCTCCTGTTGCATTTCCCAGAGGTGGTGCCTGGGTCCTTTAGGGCAGGGCGGGGCCTTCAGAAAGTGCTTTCCCCTGGGACCCAGCTTTCTCCTCTGTAAGCTGGGTGTCCCCACTTAAGGGTTCTTGTGAGGATGGTGGCGTTACTGGACGTAAACTCCTAGCCCGATGCTGGGCCCACGGTGTCTGCCCCTTTTCAGAACAGCTTCAGTGACTCCCGGGGTCACATCTGGAGGGGGCCAGAGTGTGGCTTCTTCTGCTGGGCCCTGGGACTTTAAAAGCATCGAAACAGCAGTTTCTCCTTGATTCCTTTATTCCGATGCATAGAGCCCCAGTGTGTGCCAGGCACCGTTCCAGGCTCCGGGGAGCTTACGTTCTGGCGAGGTAGACCAGTCCGAGGGCGGAACCGTAGAGCAGTAAAGCGGACGCTCCTGTGGCGATGGAAGCGTCGGGGGGTCGGGGGGTCGGGGGCGGCAGGCGGAGCAGTCAGGAGGCCTGCCCGAGGGGGCGACACTGCAGGATGGCAGGATGGTTTCAGCCTGCACTGCGAGGCACGGGAGGAAACGGCCAGTGCAAAGGGTCTGTGGCCGCAGGAACTCGTGTCCGGCACGCTGGGAAGAGGCCTGTGGCAGAGAGTGGGGTGCGGTGTGGGGAGCGAGGAGAGAGAGGGGGTCACAGAGGTGGGCAGGGCCCTGCAGGCCAGGGTGAGCAGTCGGGGTTTCCTCCTGGGGCAGAGGGGGCAACGTGACCACGCGTGTGTGGTCACAGGTCTCAAGCCCGCCTTCCCTCGCCCTCCTAGCCCCAGCTGGGTAGCAGGGCCTGTCCCAGCCTGGTGGTAGTGGGGTCTGAGGCAGGCGCAGAGCGGACACGCGTTCGCAGGCCCAGTGCACCCTGTCACCCCTCCCCAGCGCTGGCCTTCCAGCCTGGGAAGAGAAGCCACAGTGACAGGAAGATGGCCGACCTGTTCAACACCTGGTTTTGTTCTCAGCACTACACGTGTGTTCCCGTGGCCTGGGAGGGCACGACCATTCCACACCCCTTTACGGATGAGGGAACTGAGGCACAGCTGGTGATACCGCATGGCCGGAGGTGGGATTTGAACCGGAAGCCCAAGCTCTGAACTAGAGGGCGGGTGGGCGAGGCAGGGCCCCCGGCAGCTCCCGGCCTCGCTGCCACCGTCCCCCTGCCTCCCGGACCACGTGTGCCGTGCCAGGCTCCCAGCGCCCCTGTCCTGTCCCCCAGCCTCCAGGGAGGAAAATAAAAGCCGCTGTCTTGCAGGAAAACAAAGGGAAGAGGAGGCGGGAGGGAGGCGCCCGCCCACGCACCAGGGAGGTGGGGCCCCGTGGGTGCCCCATCTTCTCGCTCCCTCGTGGGCGCAGGACCCTTGGGTTCTCCGACGCCACAGGGAGAGGTCAGGCTGGCAGCAGGAGCCCTCTCGTCAACCGTGCGGTGCTGCGCCCATGCCCTGGTCCCCCCGAGCTCCCATCTCCCCCTGGGGGCGGGCCTCCGTGTGTGGTCCCTGGCCATGCCTGCCGAGAGCCTTTGAGAGGCAGCCCCTGGTCCCCTCCCCTGCAATCTGCCTGGGTGTAGAGTTGTATGCAAACCAAGGCGGATGCAGGCCTGAGGAGGAGGACCTGCTCCACTGACAGTCAGCGGGACACTTCGCTTTATATGTCTTGTGAATGTTCTTTTATCTCTGTGCACGGTTACAGTGTATCTCTGTGTAATAATATTGTATCCCGACACAGTTATATTTACACAGAGATAAAAGTTTTTATTTCCACTTAAAATTTGTATATTAAAGTACTTTCGTATTTTTATAAATTGGATAGCATAAGTATTATTTTATCGTTCATGGAAGCGGCATAGCTAATATATCAAACCCTTGATGTCATGGTTAGCAAAAAAAGATAAAAGATATCACAGTATCTTTTTTTCCTTTGTCGGGATATAGTTCACGAACCACGCAGTTCACCCATTTGAAGTGCACAGTTCAGCGGGCTTTTAATATATTCATGGAGCTGTTCGGCCATGACCACAATTCCAGAAGATTTTCGTCACCCCCTCAGAAAACCCGTTCCCACTTAAAAGTCACCCCTCAGCCCCCACCCGCAGCCGGCCACTGCCAGTCTTCCTGTAGCTCTGTCGATTGGCCTTTTCTGGACGTTTCGCACAAATGGAGCCACGTCACTGTGGGCTCCGGCGACTGCCCCCTCTGAGCATCGTGCTTCCTCGGCTCATCCTCGTCACAGCGCGTGTCAGTGCTGGGCTCCTCCGGGTGTCTGTGTGCGCAGGCGTCCTCGGTTCCCGTGGGCACACACCTAGCAGTGGATTTGCCGGGTCAGATGGTCCCTCTGTGACCCGCCTCCCGAGGGATCGCCAGGCTGTTTGCCAAAGTGGCTGTGGTGTATTCGTGTTTGAATTTAAGTTTGCAAATGCAGGTCGTTTTAAATGGAGGATGATAAGTAGAGGTGAGGGGTGGGGAGGAGAGGCTGGGCGTGCTGGCAGTTGCGGTCGAGGTGGGGATCGCCTGGATAGGTGAGGGCATAGCCGCTGGGACCTGGTCGGGTGCCTCGGCCCGAGGGAGGTGGGCAGGACGGGGCTGGGCCCAAGTCCAGGGGGCGGGGAAGGACAGCAGGAAAGGCCCCAGGTGGTCCTGGGAGTGTGAGTGGGCTCTGGACAGGTCGAGGGAGGGGGGGACGGGAACAGGGTGAGCCTGGTGGGGTGAAAAGGGGGTCAATGGGCGTGGCCAAGTCAGGGTGACTTTCCTCTGGGCCGGCCCAGCTGCGTGCCGTGGGCAGCCCCAGTGGCATCTCTGAGTCTGTCTCCACTCAGCCGAGCGTGTGGCAGATGCGGGCGGAGGTAGTGCCCGCAGGCCTGGCCTGTCACAGACCACGGTCCCCCCACCGCAGATGGAGCCCAGGCCGTGCGTCACGTGTCTGCTCCGTTTGTCTGCGGGGAGGAGCCTGCTGCTCCGACCCCCTTCACCGGCGCCAGGCACGGGCTGCGGAGCGCTGGGAAGCTCGAACATGCCTTGGCCGCCGCGGTCTCACCTCAAAGGCAGCGGCCGTGGCTTACATTCTGCACGTGGCATCGGTACAGACACAGCGCATGGCGGGGTCTGTGCCTGCAGGACCCCCGGGCTTTGACCTCTGGCTGAATCAGTTTGCCCTCTGGCTGAATCCTAGCTCACAGCTGACGCCCTCATGTGCTGTTGGATCATCTGGCTGGCTCTGGCACCCTGTAGGCAGACACTGGATTCTGGGTTTCTTCCGTGCACCCCAAGCATAGCGCCAGAGTGCCCATTAAGTACAGGTCCCCCTGGGAATTGAGAGCTGAGCTGGAACCAGGCAGCCCCAGTGGGCAAGCAAGGGAGCCAGGTGGGGAGTGTGGCAGGGTGCTCGGCCCAGGGCCATGGCGTCCTGGAAATCCCTGAAGATTTTTTGAAGGCGGTGACACCCACGAGCAGCTCGGGGCCACCCCCAGGGCAGGCCCTGACCAGGTGCCCAGGCACCCACGCCCTGCACTGGAGTGACCCTGTCCCCGACACCTGCTTCGGCCTCACTGTGTGCCTTGCACAGGCACAGTGCCCAGTTCCAAATGTCGGCAGCACACGGACGTGACCTCGCTTTCGGGGACGAGGCACCCACAGGCCCAGTGCAGCGCTGTGGCTGACAGGTGGACAGTGCCCACACTGACCCTGCGGCCCACCCCCTTTTAGCTTCTCGGTAAATGGTTTGTGGGCGGGGCTTGAGGCAGTGGGACATTCTGGTTAAGCAGGTGGGCCCCACACTGCCTCCGGTCAGCAGGGCCCACCCAGCTGCCTGCCCAAGGCCCCACGCTGGCGCCCGAGCCGCTCGTACGTGAGGGATGCACAGTCTCCCTGAATCTCTTAAGCTCGTCAGGCCTTCATCGGGCTGATTCTTTGGCTTCCTGGCGTCTTCAAAGGGCCGCGTGTGGTCTGGGCTCTGCGTCTGGGCTTCTCTGGGGCTTTCCTTGCTTTGGGCTGTCTCGGGGGAGTGTTGGCTCCCAGCCTGGGCCTCTGGGCTGGGGTTGGAGGGACTCGCAGGGACCTGCGTGGGCCAGAGGAGAGAAGGAAGAGCCACCTCCCCAGTGACGCTAGCTGTTTGCCTCTTCTCCTCCGTGGTTCAGGGCTGGAGCCGGGGGGGCCAGCTGTGAGCCATGGGCCTGATGCTTGTCTCCCCCTCAGGCTGCTGTCACCACGGCCCAGCCTTCTCACCCCGACGGGTGACACCAGAGCCAACGCCTCACCCCAGAAGCCGCTGGACCTGAAGCAGCTGAAGCAGCGGGCGGCTGCCATCCCCCCCATTGTGAGTGCTGGGCCCCCACCTCCCTCGCCGAGCAGGGCAGCAGTCCCCTTGCCCGTCTGACCGTCACTTCCTGTCCAGGAAAACAGCAGACCAGGCCAGGGCAGGGTGGGCAGGGTGGGCAGGGGTGGGCGGGGCCGGCATCTGCACCCTCGCTCTTCCCAGCCACCTCCTGCTTCCTGGAGACATCCCCATGGAGACAGGGCATGGAGACAGGGCATGAACAGCGGGTGAGAAGGTAGTCGTGCTGGGTGGGGCTCCCAGGAGCCGGGGGACTCGGCCTGCGGGTCCCCTCCCTCTGTCCTCCTGGCCCAGTGCCCTCGGCGGCCCTGGGAGTCGGCTCGGCTTTCCCTCCCTCCCTCCATGCCCCCACCCTGCCTCACCCACCGAGGGTTTTCCAGAAGCAGGCACGGGGCCGTGGGAAGGCAGGAAGTCCCCTGGCTGTCACAGCACCTCAGAGAGAAGGGTGGGGGCCTCACCAGTTCTAAATGTGAGGTCCTTTGGGGAAGGCCCCCGCGGAAGAGTCTCCAGGCCCAGCAGGCGGCCCCTTGGAGGCACCCCTCCCTCGTGGTGGCCCGCTGCCAGAGCTGTCACCCTCAGGGCCTGGCCTTCCCTGGCTGAAGACTCTGTGCTGACCAGGGCTTTTTATGTGAGGAGCACAGGGTGTGCTGACTGCACTGCCCATCACCCGAGGCCAGGCACCGTCCCGTTTGTCAGCCCCGATCTCTTGGAGACCCAGAGAGACTTGGGGTGCGGGCTGGGCGGGGAGGGTGACAGGCAGCTGGGATGGACGGGCACACTCCACACCCTTTACAAAGACCTGCCCTCCTGACCCTCAGCCTGTGTGCCCCTGCGCATGCCGCTGCCTCTTTCGGGCCCCAGTTCCCGGCTGGTCAGACGCAGGAGGCCTGCAAGGCTTTTCCCTCATCTCTGTGGACTACAGACGGCCAGTAAAGATGCTCACTTCTCCTGCTCCCCTCAGCAGGTCACCAAAGTCCACGAGCCCCCCCGGGAGGACACGGCTCCCCCAAAGCCAGCTCCCCCAACCCCACAGCACCTGCAGCCAGAGAGCAGCACCGCCCAGCAGTCCAGCAACAGCCCTCGAGGCAAAAGCAGGAGCCCCGTGCCTCCTGCAGAGAAGGAGGGTAAGTGTGGCTGGTGGCTGAGGGGGTGCAGGGAGTGAGGGCCGGTGGGTGGGATGGGGGCGTGTATGTCTGGAGCTGCTCTCCAGACTCCCAGCCTGTAGTGGCAGAGCAGGCCGAGCAACCGAGGGGGACGGGGGTGCAGCCGTGGGAAGAGTGGGGACCGCCGTGGCTGGCGAAGCCGTGTTTCTCTGAGGCGGGCGCTCACTGTCCTCAGCCAGAGCCACCGTGTGGCAGTGCGGACCTGGGGTGGTTTTTCTTCCAGAGAAGCCAGAAATCTGTTATTTTTATATGAAATCTTCTAGCTTCCTAACGCTGGCAATTTTCAAATGCGTAAAAGCACGCGCACGCACAGAAACACGCCTGCGCCTCAGCCTGGGCTCGCGTGGCTTCTGGAACCGCAGGTGAGGCTCCGCACCTGGCCGGCGGCAGCTCTGCCCCTTGTGGCTCTCATCTTGACCTCGTTCCAGGCCGAGGTCGCTGGGTTCCCTGGGGAGCTGGGGGGTGACGCCGCGAGCAGCTGTGATCCCGCAGCCGGCTGGGACGTGCTTTATTGCCACCACGTGAGGCTCAAGGCCAGCAGACAGGCGGGGGGCGTGTTTCTTGTTCTCTGGATTTCCTGTCCCTGTCCCAGTCCTCGCAGGACCCAAGAAGTTCCAAGCCTGTGTCCCCAGAGGGGCACTCTTT